CTCTCTCTCTCTGTGTGTGTGTGTGTGTGTGTGTGTGTGTGTGTGTGTGTGTGTGTGTTATAGATTTTCCCCACAACAGCCCCAATTCCACCCAGATGAGTAGATTCAGAATCAAAGCAGTCTTTGTCCTATTGCAGATAACCAGAGCATTTGATATGTCCAACAAAATAAAGCAATTTTATAATCAAAGCAGTCTTTGTCCTATTGCAGATAACCAGAGCATTTGATATGTCCAACAAAATAAAGCAATTTTATAATTAGACAGTTTTTTGGTTGTCAGGGTACCCGTTCCATCGTTCTTGCAGCTCCCCTTTTACTGTGCCTCCTCTTACGCACAAGGCTGCCCACGTTGACTGTGGTTGAGTGGCAGCTGCACACATCCCCGTGTGCCTTCACAGGCCACTTGCACGTCATTTCAGGAGGCAGAGTAAAAAAGGAAGGTATGCTCCTGAACATTTCTCTTCAGAGCTTCATACTTCTGTTCCTTTCACTTCAGATCTTCAGCTTATACAGTCTTTGTGTCCATCTTTCATTCTCATACTTCCTTTCATTTCATTTTTTTTTCTTTTTCTTTTTTTTTTTCTTCTTTGAACAAATGTTCCAGTCTTATTCGTGGGGAGCAGCACGTGCTGGGAACCGGGCCCAGCGTCCCATATCGGATTATACAGATCATTGAGAAAATTTGAGGTCTTTTGAGGACATTTGAGATACTGGGGCCATTACCCGGCTTCGGCTGAGAACAAACTGTGAAACAGAGGTCCTACGAATGCTCACTACTCTCAGGTTCCCTGACAAATCGTCCGTTCTCTTAATGATGCTCATTCGTATGTATTTGTTAGTAGCAGAAAGGGAGTGGAGGGGAGGGTGGAGGGAAAGGGATAGAAGGCGGAGTTCTTTAGGAGTATGGGGCAGGGGAGGTAGGGGCAAAGGGAAGGAAAGAAAAAGTGAAGGGCATGATAGAGTATGACATGCAAAGAGCAGGGGAGAGGTGTATGATGAGCTCCGCAGAATTCGAAACATTCACCGCTGAAACAGACTACTCCAGCATGGCACAGGGTTGCACCGAAAAAAAAAACCTCTGGCAAGTGGCCACCCGTCCAGACCGGACAGGACCGGTTCGGATGTGGGCTGCGGAAGCACCACATTCAATTTTCGCAGTCACAGTTGCTGCATCGAATGGCACAGCGCAGACATATGTCACAGGCTACGTGGCTCCTACATGCTAGGAACACAGAGGCACGTCACCCGCAATTATAGAGGCATTGTCATTCCAGCCCGTCTATAAATTGGACAGGACATGTCGGGGTGCCATACATGAGTACAGTACTGACTGTCATCATACGTATGGAAGCAAAGACTCCCATGGACTATCCCTTCATACTCCTCGCGGCACAAGGCATGCGAACCACATGCAAGTTGAATCTCCGGCGGGTCATCACAAAGCAGCATGGAGAACCTTTCTTGGGCTTCCTCAGTATTTATTCCTTCTCTATGGGCAGACGACAAGAGGGAGGATCGGTCCAAAGCAAGGGCGTTCAGCTGCTGCAGGATTTGGTCCGCAACAGCTCGCCTTGGTGGAGATGAACAATGAGCACATCGCTCTGCAGATGGTTCAGATAGAAGTCTATTTTCCTCCTCAGACTGCTGTGTCCATCGTTCGTCTGGCAAGAAAGAGGGAGATTCATCAGCTGTTGCCGTAGGCGTATCACCAACACCGCATGTGGGGACATGCTAGGAGAGGCTCTGGAGGGTGATGGCACCGGGGATGGTCCACGCAGTAAAGACACATACTTTCTATGACAGCTTCCTGGAAGCATTGACGACATATGGCAAGTTGCCGACATGTCATTAGCATGGAAGGCTGACGGGCACAGTTATTTAAGCATGGCAGATCAAGGCCACAACGGCATGCTGGGCAAGTAATCAGGGTGTGCGGAGGATGAGCACAGGACAGGGGATCACAATTTTCATGTGAGAGGCTAGCAGCGACCATCCCTTCTTAGTGTTCGGAGCAGAGGCTATGCCGTGTACATGCCAACCAAACTGCACCTGTGCGACGACCTGTGTGTCCGATGAACGGAGAACGGACAAAACTGAACGCCGTTAAACACGGGCCCAGGGACCCCCGTTGAATTCCGTTTAACGCAAAAACGGGGGTGTCCTGTTGAATTTTGAAAATCGGAACCGGCGCTTTGGGCTTCGGGCACGTGGCCCTACGCGCCCAAACACTACAAACGAAAAAATAAAAATAAAAAAAATCACATCCCCACACCCCCCTTGGACCCCCTATGACCCCGCCAATCGGGCTTTAATGACGCCCCTACAAGCGGCATGACCCCCCGACCTGCCACCTGACCCGAACCCAACACCATCCCCCCAAATCACCCCCGTGTCCACGAGTACCCCTTCTTTGTCAAACACAGGCAAGTGTGAAACTTCACACTTGCCTATGTTTGACAAGGAAGGGGTATGCATAGACACGCTGGTGACGGCCGAACATTAAAAGTTAGTATTGTAGTCTATATACATAAATACAACAATTTACAAAGAAACAAAAAGAAAACAATCACCCAACTCTGCAGGCAAAAAAAACAAAGAAACAAACGAAATAATGAAATTAAAAATGTGAACAACAATTAAAGATATACATTCACACGCTGACAAAAATGGACATGAAACGACGGAAACGTTGTGCAGCACTCGTAACTGAAATCATACATGTAACATGTAACATGTAATGGACATGAAAAGCAGTGAAGTACTAGTCACTGAAATCACACATGAAAAATGTAACATAATACAATGAATCCCTACTAGTGCCACATATTAACTAATAGAAAAACAGTAGTGTACAAGTCGCGTCGGCGGTGCCGACCCACTCTACTGTGACTAACGCTGTTGTACACATGCCCTACTCATACCAGAATCGGGCACACTAAAAACGAAGAAAACAACTACAACTACAGCATCCACACTACTTGACTACCAACGACTACCTGACAACAGTGAGATAAGACAGCAGGAGCAAAAACACAGGAGCAAAAACACAGGAGCACAGAATACGACGAAGTCCCGTGCAAGTAGGGGAAAGCGGACTTTTGGCCTCATGGTCATCAACCCCTCTTCCCCTTCCCGCTATGCCTCCTCATACCCCCCCGAGTGCCGCATGTTGACCTCCCCTTCCTTCGTGTGGATGACGATGTCTGCGCACAAAAACGTCTCGAACCATGCGTCGGTGGGGGGGTGGGGGCTGATCCTCGTCGTCGTCGTCGCTATTGTTGTCGCCGCGCTCACTCTCCTCCTCACTCTCCTCCTCACCCTCATAGTCCTCGTCATCCTCCCGCGCTATCGGTGCCGTCTCAGGATCCTCCTCCTTGATGGCGACAGGGCCGCCTCCCTTCCTCACCAGAACAACCCTCATACTAGCCTGTGCGACCGTCTGCTGACAGTGGGATCCTCGAGGCATCCCCAACCCCTCCACCCTCGAAGACTCTCCAAGTGCAACGCCTCCCTGTGCAGGCACCCGTGGAGTGCCTCGTGCTCGTGGACGACTTCGACCTCGTCCACGCCCCGTGCAGGACACATCCACGCCCCGTGCATGCACGCACGTGTCGCTGCTCTCAAAACGTGGTCCAAGGTCGAGTTGGACTCTCCTGCGCCTCGACCTCGCTGAGGCTTACAACCTGTTGTTGCAACCTCCCCCACTGCGGTCGTCCTAGCGCCTCGGTGACCCAACCCCGGCTGAAGGCAAGCAGTGCGCTCAGTGACAGGGCGAGTGGAATCCAAATCTATGTCCATCCTCCCGAACAACGCTGTGTCGCACACATTCCGCCCAACCGTAGTCATTTCACGGACCCTCGATCTCCCAGGCATATGTGGGGATGGAGAGCCTCAGGTTGTGGGCGACGACGATGAATCACCCTCACGTGGTCTAGGAGGGGGTGGCACGTCTCCCGTACCTGGCGCTCTCTCCTGCAGGCTCCCCAAAACCCGTGGAACATCTGCCCTGCACCAACGATGCAGGGCCCCATGGAACCGAAGGAATCCTCTGCCAATGGGGCCGGTTGAGTTTCAGGTTAAATACCCGACAGTCCAGTCGAGGTACATCGCGCACAGCGGCCGCTGCCAACTCCTCGACATGCAATGGATGATCAACATCCTGCGGAGCCGGTCGCCGAGGACGTGTGCGCACAACCATCGACTCGGATCCCAAATCCTCCATGATAACACGTGGCACATAATGCACCGCCACCTCAGCCAACTGCGATCGTCAGGCCTCGACCAAGTGCATGCCCAAGAATGGGACAATTGGACCCGTTTGTGTCTCATCACATGCGCCGGTGCATCTTCAAGCATCCCGTCTCTCGCCCTTCTCCACCCTCCATAGCCTCATCCAATGCCTATGGCCCACCCTCCATACCCTCCTCCCCCTCTGCTGCCACGACCTCCATAGTGTTCCCCCCCCCCCCACTGCCCACCATCTCTCTGTGTCTCTCGACTCCTGCGCTCCTCCAAGGCTCGTGCGAACGCCTGAGCAAGTGGGTCACTTGATGCCATCAGCCAAGCCCTCTCTCGCTCCATGATGTCGCGTGATGTATCTATAAACCATGTTGTCGTCCTGTCTCTTGGGGTCTGCGTCCACGTCTCGCCTGTCGCCTCGTCTCTCGATGACGCTCGATCCGTCGATGCACCCCGCCGCAACTAGGGGCAACGCCCATCGACATGTCAAAGTCAAACTGGGCCCCCATCTCTGAATCAAACATCCCCAACCCCCTCACCACACCCGGGGTGATACCCCTCACGACCGGATGCATGAGGCTCTCCTCGATGGCCTCACTGCTCTCAGTGTCGTCCGCACCATCACGCTGCATGACAACATCCAGCACGTCCGTCGCTGCTGCTATCTCCTCCACCGCTGTTGCCACCTCCCCCTCCACTACTGCTGCTGATCGTACCTCCTCCAACATTGTTGCTCCTACTACCTCCCCCTCCACCGCTCCACTGTTGTTACTTTGTTGCGCTACTGCATCCCCCTCCGCTGCTGCCACCTCCCCCTCCACTGCTGCTGATGGTACCGCCTCCTCCTGCAAGACCCACGGGGAAGGTGATCGTAACCTCAGATGGCGAATCACCCCAGATCTCTACAGAAGTCTGCGCTCAGGCAAGGAGGATGCCAACTCCTCCGTGTCCGCCATTGTCGTGGCTGGCTTAAGTGGCGAGACAGGCGATGGTGGTGCAAGACTCAGAGCAGAAGGTGGCGGCATGGACAACTCTCGCCTCGTCAAAGTAGGAGTTGTCATCCGCGCCTCTGTGCGGCTTGTGCCTGCATGCAAGCCCCTAACTTTGTCATCGCGCACATCATCCGTGGTAGCCACCTCCCCGAAAGGGCCCCAAAAATCCTTGTCTCCCCCCGTCATCTCCCTGTCTGCCCGGTTCGCCGCTCGTCGTGCCGCGTGTGTCCTCGTCTCCACATCGTCGAGATCATCGTGTGTCTCATTGATCTCATGGGGAACGCGAAGCGCAGGGTCATCTGCTGCCTCGAGTATCGGTTCCTCATCCGAATCATCGTCCCTTGGATAGGGACGAAAAATGCAAGCACGTCTATCAAAAATGACATCAGCGGAGGGCGGTGCGGAAGCCTCAACGGGATCGCGCGTAATAAGCGCAACCTGCTGGGCAATCTCGTCATGCGTTATTCTCCGGCGCGTGCCCGTACGCACAGCCTCTACCTCGAGTCGTGCCTGGCAGTCGAGCAAACCCTTGACCCTTTACCATGGCAATACATAACCACATCTTGCCCGCCAATACTCTGTCAACCGCACATTAGGGGTGATCTCAACAAGTTGCACAACCTTCTCGAAAGCCAATTGGTTGCGCTTCTTCGTGTGGATGCCCTCATGGACTGCCCAGTTCCTCTCCGCTGGAGAGGCGCTGGATCACATGTGCATCACACAAAGAGCTCACCGCTGCAACTCAAGTGCGCCAGCCCCGTATTGAGACCACCAAGACGCACACTCGATCATCCGGCGTCGCCGCTACATGCGCGCCCACGAGCACACCCCTCCGCCCCACCCCAGTCTCCAAACCTGCTTTGCTGCATGTAAAAGTCCTCAAACTAACGACAGGCAACAATGTAATCCGCACCGTCTAACTCAAAACCCGTCTGCGTCAGAATGTACTTCTTGGCTTGCCTCACAAACCAAGCATGATAACCCTCCACCTCGCCTAAAAAGTACTGAACATGTCGTCTGCGGGTGTTCAGTAAGAACCCAACGCAATGCGCCGGATCAAGCATGTGTTGTGTGCGGGCCTGCACTGCCCCAAAGGAGCGCATGCGTCCGTCACATGGTGGACAAGATCCTATGTCCACTCGATCATGCGGGACATGGACTGTCCTCCACGAGCCATCCACCTAAGCAACTACATGACGGGCTCCATGATATGGACAATGGTGGTCACCCTCTGCCACCAAGGATCCCATCTGATCTGTCCGCACACCCAACGCGCCATGATGCAAACATCGGCGGACCAGAGTATCAAAGCAAAAGCCCGTAAGACATCCCTTCACATCATGCCCTACAAAGTGTTCTACAAAGCAAGCAACCTCTCCAGCACGAAATAAACAGACGCAAACCACGTATCGCAAAAAATAACAGGCCCCTTGTCAGGGTTACGCTTCCTAAAAAAATGAAGGGCGGCCTGGTGGGTTTTGAAAAACACCACCAGCACAGGAGCTCGCGCGATCGTGTCCACAAACGCGTCACAACTCGTCCCCATGTTTGACAATAATTTGTTGCAGATATGGACGGAGCACGAAAGCCAAATGATCCTTCTCAATGCAAGAGGCATGGTCGGCGAGGCCCTTGCCCTTGCAACCCCCCCGTACGCTAAAGTAGAATCGGTGCATATCGCACTCACCCGTTGTGGCCCACCGAAACTGAACTCGTGGAAGACGGTAACCCATCTTCGAAGGACGTGCCCTGCATCGTCCACCTCCCCCTTTCTATTGATCGTCATGTACATGACGACCCCTCGCAAGCCTGCGGCAAGGACCCTCCCCCCTCGTACCCTCCGTTACAGGCACTTGTCCCGTCTCTGCTCTCGCCCGGGTAGCGCGCCTCAGGATCGATGTGGATCACGTCCTCCTCCGTGCCACCACCTCCACCCCCCAGTGGGCGGTCGAGCGGATCCTGCCCGTCATCTCCCCCGCCCCCTCCCTCCTCCTGCCCTTGCACCATCGGACAGGGCCACCTCGAGTCCACGCTCCACTGCGTACCTGCCAATAGTCTCCATCTAATCAGACTCGAACTTCTGTCGAGTCCGTCGTGCGATCTCGTACAACGCCTCGTAGCTGATGTCCTTGCAATAGTTCATTTGGACAAAGTGCCTCGTGGCCTGGTACCGAGTCCCCTGGAATACTTCGTTGCAAAACGTGCAACGCAGCACCATCACCCCCTTGTTGTCGACCTTTTGACCGGCGACAAGGTACCGATGCACAGAGGAGCGGCCCCTGAATATCTCCTGCACATGCTCCGCAGCGGGCTCATGCCGACCCCGCTGTGTCCTCCCCTTGCCAACCCCCCTCTACCCTGCTCTGAAGCTACAAGGTCTCGCAACCGGAGGCACCCCCCCGCCCTCGCCCTCGTAGACCACGCTCGGTTGCTGCTCCTGCTCCCGCTCCAACCGCCACTTCCACTCGTCTCTCTCCTTCTCTCCTAGATGTGTATAAGAGACAGGAGTAAGAGGGATGGAGAGAACATCCGCCAAGGGATACCACGTGCCCTACTGACGAACCAGCCACATGGAAAGCTTTAGACAACGGCAGCACAACTGCTAGCACCATTGTCCTGGGCCACTGATTCATTTTTGTACCACCTGTCGTGTTCCCAAACAGTAAATATTC